TAATTTTTCTCATAATGTACTATGAAGACCCGGTTATCAACCAGGAAAGGACGTCAAAGGACAATCACCAACAATGTGATTCATAGTTCGCAACTCCCTGTAGATTCCCATGACAACCTCTATCGTCCTCTACGCAAAATTACATCAGCCCACCTCAGGGTGAATGGCACTGCGTAATGCAACTGAATCACAGTTTTGCTGGACGCAATAATTAGGGTTTCTCAAGTGTAGCAATCAGTCATAAGTTTAGAAGGCAGTAACGAGGCGGTGGCCATATACTTGTAATGACTATGGCTCTAGACAATAAACGTGGCCGTAAACGAGGACCAGACGTTAACCCGAGTGTGACATGACTGGGGGTGACCTCAACACTACTTCCTGGATACGGTGCAGCGGGGAAAGGTACGTGTGTCAGGTACTCGGTATCAGGTTCTTGGTATCAGGTCCTTAGAAACAGGTACTTGGTATCAGGTACTCGGTATCAGGTACTCTGTGCCAGGTACTCGGTATCCGGTACCCGTTATCAGGTGCTCGGTATTCAGGTGGTCGGGATCATGCACGTGGTATTAGGTACCCGGTATCAGGTACTTGGTATTCAGGTACTCGGTTTTTGGTAATCGGTATCAGGTAGTCTATATCAGGTACTCGGTATCGGGTATTTGGTATTGGGTATTCGGGATCATGTACGTGGTATTAGGTACCCGGTATCAGGTACTTGGTTTTTAGGTACTCGGTTTTTGGTAATCGGTATCAGGTACTTGGTATTCAGGTACTCGGTATCGGGTATCGGGTATTTGGTATTGGGTATTCGGTAAAAGGTACTCTGTATAAGGTACTCAGTATCAGGTACTCGGTATCAGGTATTTTTTGTACTTGGTAGCAGGTACATGGTATCATAGAAGGCATCTCAGTAAGATTTTGATGACTAGCAGTCAAGCAAACAATAGTGGCAGTGCCTTTTCAGTCTGACGTGACACTTTGTGACAGCTGGTTTGTAACTGAGTAGATCATGACGTGTCTGTTTGAGCTGAGTACTATCCTCGTGTAGTATGGCAAGTTTGCGGACAGTTATCTTGTAGCTACGTTGCAAACCGATCAAAAGTCTGAGTCTCGCTAAAACATGTATGGAGGGATAGAACATTGCATGTTTTATGTAGAACATGTACTATGCTATGCTATTATTTGAAATGCGTATAACTTAAACGTTAAATTTACAAATTAAATCAAATAGGATCCATGCGTAACATGATTTTATTTTTAACTTCGAAGATTAATATTCAGCTTTGTTTGGAAAAAATACAATTATTTCAACAAATATTTATAAATCGAGCCATTATACAAGATCGCCCCATTATAAATCTTCACTAATCCAACGAGAGAGCATCTACAACAGGTAGATTGCCGCGGCGAGGATCTTCCTCACGATGGAACTCTAATTAGAGATACTGCAGATGTATATTAAACGTAGCGCGCACCGTTACAGCTGACCCTGCGCTTGTCAAATTACGGACTGATAAGACATGCGCGGTGGCAGTCCAGCGGCGCAGTGATCCGTGGACCGTTATGCGCATGCGTAACTCCTTCGCTACTTGACACGACGTGTAGCAAGTGGTAATGATAGAGCAACGCTTATAGACATTTGTAAAACTGGGTTTTGTGTTTGTGTTTCACCGCCATTGGGATATTTCAACCATGTTTCAAGGGAATGGTTTTGTTACTATTTAACGTTGGCATATTGATAGATGCAACGATAAATTGATGTTTCGATGACAAATGGCATCAGTAGCCGAAAACTATGTGAAATAAAAATGACTCTCACCAAATATAAATCGTCTTTTGAGGTTACATGTGTGTGGTCTAAGGCATTAACCGCTAATGGAGTTGATCACTAGTTGACGAACGTGAATTTAGCAACGTCTTTTGATTTAAAATAACTTTTATTAACCAGTCGTTTTGGTAAAATATTTATTGCATTGTTTGATTACCTACGTCATGCCATCAGAAGTAGTGTCTGTGTCTAACTTAGCTATGAACCAATTTAAAGACTACACTTACAAGAAAATGGTATTAGAAGAATTAATCCTTCCGATAAGTCATCTAGAAACCATTAAGTGCTGTAATTGCTCCGTCTGCGACTATGAGCAAACATATGCAACGACTTATAAGGCGGGTGGAGTGAGATAGAGGTAATGCACGTACAAGCTCATTTATAAATACGAATTTATATGGGAAAAGCTATTAGAGTACCTTGTCTCAGCCGTAGAGGGAATCTGCTCTTCTGCTGTAACGAACATATCCGTAATTTACATGCTGTACTTAGTTGCTTTTCATATTTTGCCGCAAACTTTCCTCCCTAGCCAATAGAATATATATCTTTGTAAGTTTATTGTGAGACGTAAGGATATTTCAAGAGTTCTCAGGCACTTCATACTAGTAAAAGAAACCCTGAGTTTTTAAGAACTGTTTACAAAATTGTAACTAAGACGAACTATCTCTCAATTCAGAAGGCAATTATTTTTTCATTTTTGTAAGTTATGGTTGTTCATAATTTATAAGTACACCACCAAAAGGCCCTTAAACCATTAAACCCTAACAATTTGAATAGAACACAAAAAAAAATTATCATTGGAGTTTAATAAGGGATTTTATCAGAGAATAAGGCAGTATTTCAAGACCGCTTCTTAAGATTTTAGAGATAGTTTCCAAGTTACTTTCAATTTTAAAATGTTTAAGTACGAATATTCCAATAAATAAGAGTGATTTATCTAAGCTACCGCTCACGACCAACGATTTAAAATCGTCAACAGCGATACAAAAGTTAAATATAGTAGAACCCCTCATTATTTGGCCACCACGGGACCAAGCCACTGGCCGGATGACGAAGGTCCGATGACTCAACCTACTATAAAAAAGACAATTTCAAACCTGATAATAACGTGTAATCAATATATGAAGTCAAAAGTCTCTTTCAAGTCTGTCCAGGAACTATTTTTAGAAAAAAAAACACACGTTTAAAAAAATATATTTATAGGTTAAAGTTAAACCTAAATCCAGGTTAAATCCAGGTTTTTGTTGGTTTGCTTGAGGTTAAAGTTGTTCATAAATGAACTTATAAAGATTATGATTCCAGACAACAAAAACTAGTAAATAAAGTTAGAGGTAAAAATGACAATAAATGTGCCTAGGACAGTAAATTATTAAGACCTAAATAGTGCACAAATCTTTACTCAACTTTCTTATCCATATTTTTCTTACGAAATAAAACAATGAATGTACTGCACTAACCCCGCTTTGGAAATAATCAACTAACTGTTCACAGGTTGGGCCTTCTAGCTCAACTGAGTACTGTAGCATTAAAATGTAAACAAACAGTTTGTGAGCTGAAGTTGTGAAGACTAGTGCTTGCTTCTTCACGTCTGTAAGCTGTGATAAAATTTTTAAATATTGGCCTCTTGGAAGGGGCCGGATAAACCAAGGACTGGAAAACCGAGGCCGGATATCAAGGGGTTTGCTTGCTGTGTACAACTATGCACTTCAAAATACACCCGGATATAACATCGCTGATTATATCGTAATAATTATTTGCTCTACATATTTCTTAACGTCCCAGTGTTTCCTGAACTACCTGAACTACAAATCACAACAAAAACGTTAACAAGCGGTTGTGCGAGAAACAGAATGGCGACAAAATTAATTGGATTCATCCACATTTTATTTGTTCAATAAATAACCAAGCGATAAAATATTTTGCGCAACTAAGAGTTATGATCTATCCAGTGAGTCTACTAATCTATAGTATATTAATTGAACGGAAGTTAGTCGATGGAGGTAATTATCTTGCCAGAGAAGGAGGTCTGAAGCAACCGGACTTGCTATCCAGTGTATGTGTTTGTGTGTGTGTGCGTGTGTTGGCGTGTGTGAGTGTAGGCTAGCTACTTGTCCCCGACCGCGGTCAACTAACTAACCATATTTATTACGCACTCACACACTCACTCGTTCGTAAACCGCTTTTCGTGGCAATTTCTATGCAAATTTCTGCCGTATTTTTAACACGCAATGGATTACGCTTTAGCACTTTCTCGATTTATTTATTCCGTTTTAAAACGACCGTACGTCGCCATCATTCACATTATGAATACCACGGTCGGGACAGATTTATGCAGTTTCAGCTGACTTTAGTTATAAATCAACTGTTCATATTCCTCCACGGTCGCAATCAGTTCTCTATGTGAAAGGGGATTTTCATTAAGAGGAAACGAGTATATACCTGTCATAAGAAACCTGTGAACTAATGGAATTTTCAATTAACAGAGAGTATTTGGATTTGAGTGCAATCGAAATGAACGATTACCATTTTTTATTGTAAATGACTGAAAACTAAATTAGTATTACAGTACTTAAAAATGGACAACGCTATGAAAAAGAATATAATTAAATATTTTGTAATGATTATGATTTCTTAAACACATTATGACTTGATCAAATTGTATACCAAGTTCATAAAGATATTTTACATAGTTCTTGAGATATAAATTAAAACAAACCAAAAACTAAATGGCGAATATCTCACTAACGTTTTTGGAAAAATGTTATTCTTGATTTTCTTTTCATTTTGACCCAATAAACTCTCTGTACTTACGGAACAACTTTTATAGTATGGTATGATGAGGTTATGTGAAACTATTTGTGGATTAGCTGTAAGATTCTTAATTTCACTTGAGTAAACGGTTTCAAACGTTTATGTTTTGTAAAAACGAAATTATTGTGATTTTAGTTGCCCTTAAAGGAACAACATCGTCGGGCCTCGTTCCCAGCTACCACAGAATTAAAAGAATTAAATTTTAATTCTGTGGTCGCTGCTGGCTCCCTTATCAATGGGGTCTTTGAATGACAAATACGCTTCCAAATTCCTACACTGGTAAGAGTCCTAATATTAGCTGACCGTCCCGTAGTATGAGAAGTACCGGTATTCCCTTGTCACCTGTTGATGTATGTTCCAGCACACCCTGACTGGCCACAGTGGCAAGGTGATGGCAGCCAAGTTCCTCGGGGAGTCTACCAAGGTTGTCACTGGCAGTCACGACCGAACACTCAAGATATGGGACCTGCGCAGCAAGCAGTGTAAGCACTACCACTACTTACCAGTAGTTCTAATGTGCTCTCAGTGCACACAATAATAAGCTGCGGACGTAGAATTGCAATATTTCGGTTTGTGGTTTTAGTGTGCTTTTAGGTTTGCTTCCCCAGTGATAAGCAACTGTAATGTATTTGCAATCGGTTAGGTAGAATAAAGTGCTAGAGGATGAGAATCGTAAGTAGTTTTCACAGATTACACATTTAATGGGATATTAATGGCGGTTCAGAAAAGTATTTAAATGTTATGAAAATAACAAGATATAAACATAGACTAACCAACACAAGTAGACTTCTCATCCCATTGTAAATTTTGAAGCTAGTTTTTCGTGTCTAGTTCATGACACTGGGCGCTAGTGTCGACAAGATTTTGTTTCTATTATTTTAGAGTTAATTTCTTGATTTGTGCTTTACTGTTTGTTTATTTACTAGGTGATGAGTTTTTTTTATGATTAGATCATATTATTTAGTTAAACAAGGTTTTAAATGACTGAAATAACTAAGGGAGTATGTTTTATCTATGACTAGCAGAGTACCCGTACTTCGTACGGGGTTGGCATATAAGTTTAAATTGCGTATTGCAGTTATACTCAAGCTTTGCGTTTGCAATGGGGGAGGACAAAGTTTGATAAAATTTGCTTCTTCAAATTGACGGTATACTATGGTATTACACATCTACCATAGCCATAATGTTCTACCTCTTCACCTAAACAATAAAGAAAAATAAAGTATTACAAATTTAAAAAATCACAAATTATTCATGACATTAAACACATAAACATAACTGTAAACAATCCTACTTTGACAGTTCTCATTGCGTATCACAGTTGTTTGTTGCTGCTTAGTTCAAATTAGCTGTTTTTCATAAATGAAAATAAACGGTATCAGCATTCTGACACATACTTTCTCCCATAAGTTTGTCAACAACCTTTATCATGTGTAAGCGGTGAGAGTAAATATACGGAAATGGGATTTGTAAGATTTTCTTCAGAATTTAAAGGACTATAACATGCTAAATTTTTATCAAAATCGTTCGAGCCAATATTGGGAAAATATGATTTTCCGTTATTTTATGGGGTTTTTATGGGGAAATAACATAATTTACAATAACTTTTGAACCGTAATTTTTACAGAGATGGGATTTGTACCATTTTGTTCAGAATATAAAGGACTATAACATACTAAATTTTTATCGAAATCGTTCAGGCCATTTTTGGGAAAATCTTTTTTTTCCGTCATTTTATGGGGTTTTATGGGAAAATACCCATTAAAAATAAAAATTTCTAAGAAATGAGAAAAACTATCAAAATTGTAAGGATCATAACATACTATTTTAAATAAAAACGGATTTTTTTGTCTAAAATCCTATTTTTCGTTATTTTATGGGATTTTTATGGGAAAATAACATAATTTACCATAACTTTTGATCCGTAATTTTTACAGAAATGGGATTTGTACCATTTTGTTCAGAATTTAAAGGGCTACAACATACTAAATTTTTATCAAAATCGTTCGGGTCATTTTTGAGAATATCCGATTTTTCCGGTTTTTTATGGGTTTTTATGGGAAAATCCCCATTAAAAATCAAAATTTCAAAAAAATGAAAAAAACGCCTGGAGATACCATGGATTAGAACCTACATACCAAATTTCATCGAAATCGGACCACAGATGTAGTCTCTAGCTCTGTACACATCCAGACACACAGACACACAGACACACAGACACACGGACACACACACACACACACACACAGACATCACTTCGAAAACCACTTTTTTGGGTCCAGGGGGACCCAAAACGAATATATCCACTCAAAACTCAAACTCGAAAATTTTGACGAAAACAATACTTTCTCCATATACTATGGTATAGGGGGAGAAAGTAAAAAATATAGTGCTGCACCCTGTTGGTAAATGTTATAACTTTTTAATGCTTTTGTATATCATTTGAACCACCTTTTTTAGTTGAAACAGCTGACTAAATTCTTTAATTCCCTTTAAATATGAATACTCATAAGGTTAACATGGGAAACTACAGAGCTACCGGGGCGGAGCCCGAAGTGATTTTTGAGATAAGAATATGGCTATATGTTAATCGGGAATGTGAGCTATCATCATGCAAAATTTCAGCCCAATCCATCCAGTGGTTTATGCGTGATTGACCTTCAAACACACAAACAAACGAACAAACAAACACACAAACTTTCACATTTATATCAATATCAATCAATATTACTAATATAATATTAGTAAGATAAGATAAGATATAAGGCTGAGGTTCAGCTACCTTTTTTTGCATTATGAATTAATTATAGGAATTTTAAAATTTATAGAAACAAAAATATTATTTAATCCAGTTATCTTTTAATGTTTTATTTTACAGTTTCCATTAAATACAAACATTTTGTTTAGAAAGATACGATTAAAAATAATAAGACAAATTTATACATCTGAGAAATTAGAAAAAAACTCAATTATTTATGAATTTAAATCAATATGTTGGAATTGTATGTCAACCTCATTAATTTATACAGTACAATGTTTATTTTCTTTCATAATTTTTAGCAGAAGATGCAGTCATTCCAAGTATTCCGTATTGCCTGAACTGAAGTCAACGCAACTCTACAGGCACACGTGTAGTGTTGTTGCGCGTGAACAGTTGAAGGAGCAGATGTATTTGTTCGTCAATGTTTTGTGTAATGGACGATTACGTTTTGGAATGACATTTTTGTTATAAAAAAAGTGTTTACTTAATAATTATTTTGCCGTGACGACTTTTGAGGTTGCAGGGTGCAATGTTGTTTAATGTTTTACAACTATCGTTGCACAGTATATAATCGATTCTCGTATTCACAAACTGGTTCAGTGTAAGGACCATAGATGTATAAATAAGAATTGTAACACTACAATGTTTTAAAAATTACAAAGGCTTTTTTTCATTTCATCCTTTATGCATGCCGGTAACGTAATATAGTTTAAATAACTATAACTCAATTTAAAATACACCGTTTTCAGGACAAATATCAGTTTTAATGGTACAGTACTCCCTAAGCTAAAACCAGAAAAACTAAACCGTATTGCACCCTTTTTCATCATTACTCTATGTTTATTTTTTTTAATAAGTCTATTCTGTATCTTTGATTCTTTACTTTAGGTTGAATCTATTTACTTTTTATAGCAAAGCTTAGTATTATTTCCTTTTTCAGGCTTATTTGATGGTGTCGGTGATCTCAACTCTGAGCTGCATGTAAATGTCCGAATAAAACATCCCAAACACTCCTTGCCCTTGGGATGATTTTTTTCATTTGTTAAGTATTCATAGTTTAGAGATTTTATTACAACCTTATGAAAGCAATTTGTCTAATCGCTTGTGTAAAACAAATGTTCAGATTTCTGATTCATTGTTTGTGTGTGACAGGTACCCAGACCAACTTTGTGGGCTCGAGCTGCAATGACCTGGTGACCTCTGATGGCGCTGGCACAACCATCATCAGTGGACACTTTGACAAGAGCATCAGGTTCTGGGACATGCGCTCTGAAAACTCGGTTAACAAGATCGAGGTCAACGGAAAAGTTACTTCTCTCGATCTCTCAAGAGGTATTTATGTAAATCTCGTATCCTTATAACTGTGTGTTAAATAAAATTTGTGAGTTGTTTAGCCCCCGGAAAACTATGGTTTACAATAACTGCACATGTTAATCTTCGGTTGCAACTAGTTGGTAGCACATAATAGTGGCAACTAGTTCAGCGTCGGGCCTACAAGGAGTCAAAGTCGTCAATACAATTCTCCCTCACTACCCACACAGTGTTCTGAAAATATATAATTACAAACCTATTCAGCCTTTCTTTTTGATATTTTATAGTGTTTAGTTAGAGCTCTGTTGCTAGTTTAGTAACCTAAAACAGGGTGGCAATTAAGTCTTAGGACAACTTTATAACTTTGAAACGGAAAGAGATATCACAACCAAATTTGGCATATATTACTGGTAATATTAAGCTACTTTTTGTTTACATGGTGATTGGATGTCACCTATGGGGAATGGCCCATGGTTTAAAATCTTAAGGGTATGCAAAGGTTGATATGTAAATTAATTCTTGTCTAAAAACAATGCCGCAAACCGGACCTCAAACCGTATTTTCAACTTACTCCCTATGGGCCATCCCGTAGGTGACATCCGATCACCATGTACCCAAAAAAGTAGCTTACCATTACCAGTAATGAAATGCCAAATTTTGTTGTGATATCTATTTTTTTTTGTTATAAAATCGTCCGAAGACGTATGTGCCACCTTGTATATTTGCCTTGAAACAGCGTTGTGGCTGTTACTAGTTTACCTACACTCATCCTTCACTCATATTTGGGTTAAAATATGCACATAGTGGCGTCCCCATATTAAATAATTGATAATTGATAATTGATAATTGTTTTATATTCTGCTCTATGTACGATAATATGTTGCATTGTTCACAGACTCCAAGTACTTGTTGAGCTGTGTCCGAGATGACACTTTGCGAGTGTTGGACCTCAGGATGAATCAGATCGTTGGCACGTTCAGGTAACTTCATTATACAACACAAGACGCACTACAATAATGTTGACAAATACTGATTCTTTTGTGGAAATTGTATATTTTTTCACTAGTAACAAGAGTGGCGTTATAAGGGTGCGCTCATGGTTTATGTGTGAGGCACTGATCACAGAAACACCAAATTTGAAGGGTGAGATGAAGCTTCTAGGGTGGCAAGCAAGTTGCATGTGTGAGGGCTAACGGAGAAGAGTTCGACATACACTTTTGTTACAGTGCAAGCTAAGGAGGATACTTTACACTACAAAGAAAAAAAAAATCATTATGTTTATTTTTGTTTACATTTAAGTTGTAGATTAAAACCTCTTGTGATTAATGGTACAAAAATTGAATAAAATAATCAAAATCCATTAGAGCACTAGTGAACTAATGGAAAGCTATTTAAAGGCGAGATAGGTGAACTGAAAACAATAGAATTTGATTTTAAAAAATCAAACTACGTTTTATGCTATGGCTGAAAAATGTTCAATATACTATGTTTGTTTAGCCACGATGGGTTCAAAGTTGGTTGCGATTGGGCGAGGGCAGTGTTCAGCTCGGAGGGACAGTATGTAGCCGTGGGTTCTGCTGATGGCTCAGTCTTCATCTGGGAGGTCGCTACACAGAAGGTCGAACAAATACTGAGAGACTGCCACTCGTAAGTACTTGAAAAAATACAAGGTCACTTAAGTAAGAGGACTGTCACTCTTAAGTATTAGAGTAAACAAATGTTATGGACCTTTATTCGTATCAGACTATGCACATAGTTAAACTATTCTCAGGTGCATCATAGAGTATTACCTCCGTTCTAACCTCCTCATTTACGACACTGCAGAAGGCCCACCAATGATGAGTGACACTTCCGGTGCTACTCAAGGTTCCATACTTGGCCCAGACCTATGGAACACCACCTACCTCCTGATGTCTGAGATACCCAAGGAAACCGTTTTAGTTGTGTACGCCAATGACATTGCAGCTTTGATAGTTGCGCGTAGGGGTGGGCTGGCCTAGCTGAAACGAATCAGTCATGTGTACAATCAGCATGCAGAGTAAATCATGGTCCCTCGCTTCCTCTTAGAAAAACTGATATCATAATTCTGAAAAAGAAGCAGACCATCAAGCCTTTACCACCAAGAAGTCCCTTAAATCATAGTGGACAGTAAGCTCAGATCTTCTATACGGCATGGACAAGACCGCCATGATGGTAAATGGTCAATGTCAGATGTCCTTGTTTCAGTTGAAGAAGCATGTTATGTCTGTGGTATCGTACGTACTTGTGCACAGTGTGGTTGTGATGCCACACAGAAGGTATAGGCCTACAGGATGCGGCTCATGTGTGTGCAACGTCAGGCAGCACTCAGGGCAGCATCTTCTTAACGAAGATTGTTTAAACCCGCCATCCTGGTAGTTATTGGAGTCATCCCTGTCAAACTTTCGGTAGTGGAGGGGAAGGGAGGAGCACACCCGCACCTACTGGTTGTGGCAGGATAGCTGGATTCAGGACACGGGGCACTGGACCAGGCAATTAGTTCAGGAAATCTGACATTGGTTCAATCAGCGGTACAGAGAACCACACCTAGTACACAGCTCACAGCTGTTTCCAGCCATCCTTGTTCAGGATAGGCGGTGTCACCTGATTACATCTACTGCCTGGGTGCTCCCCACGATATGGAACATACTTTCTCGGCTGCTCCGTGTTGAGAAAGGCCCCGCCTGTAGGCTCAACACCATGCAATACTGCTGTCAGTGGACACAGTCATTCCGTTGATGATGGAAGGTTGATAATTGGACACGTGTATGACACAGTTTGTTTAAGGTTTCCCCACGCCAAGAAGCTCAACCTAGACCGTGTTGCAATCTAGATCTTGAAAGAGGAGAGTTCTAATGCCACAAATAGTGCCCTTGAAACTTTAGATCATATTTTTACCTGAACTAAAGAAATGTGACAAATAATCCTGGGTTTGTGTTCAACAGAGTAGAGGGGGTTTTTGGTAGCCTGATCGATTCAGGAGTCTCACACTACAGACTGGCCACCTAAGTGTATAAAAGCCTTTTCTTCCTCGCTCTGAAAAAATAAACCCACTTGGAAACTATGTCTATTACATGTTCTTACCTATTAAATGTACAATTAAGAATTTCAACTTTCTTGGAAGGTCAGATTATATATAACACAAGCACCTTGTAAAATGTAATGAGCTGGCTACAACACAAGCAGGTCCTAAACTGTATGATTTTCACTCATCAGAAAAGCGAGCTCTGCAAGTACAGTAGACTATTTAAGAAAATTAAGAATTCCAATGTTAAAGAAACACTTTTCTTGTAACTGATTAAGCAGTTTCTTAGCATATTTCTGGTTTGCAGGAGTCCAGTAACCGCAGTCGCCTGGCATCCTTATGGAAACTCCCTGGCCAGTGTGGACAGGTCAAGACGAGCAGTAGTGTGGTCGGACTAGAGGAACAGCTGATCGTCAACTAGTAAAGATGACAAATCAAATCAGCTGTTCAATCATAATTACAGCTGACAAACCGGGGACTGGTTTGTCTTATCATTCTATTGTTTCGTACTGGTAAGCTGAAGGAGAAAATATTTAAAAACTGTTGAGAAATGTGTTGCAACATTGTTACTGTATGTTTTACACGCAGACATTACACTTCATGCGAGAGGTTTCACTGAGCACTTCACAGATTTTAATAATTATCTTAATTTATTTTCATCCTTAAAACTGATGATGTGGACCACATGGTTGTTAAATAGCTTATGGAAGTTTCACATTTAGATCTGTATTGTTCAGTAACAATATGGTTTTGTTTAGCTTTTGACTGTTGAAGGAAATATTTGTGTGACAGCAATATGAGTTGAAACTCAGTAATTTTTAATATTAGGTCTTTAAAGTTTACATATTTTAATTTCAGATGAAACACTATTGTGTGTCATAACATAAGAACATCTTGAAAGTCTAATGAACTAGTGTGCAAAATAATTACCTCCATCACAGTCAACAAAAAAGCCGTCTTCAAAGCATAATTAGGTTTTATCATAGATAAATCATCTCCCTCAGTAGATTTCTCATACTTATGGAACAGCTGAGGTCGCGGTTTGCTTACATTTTCTTTCTTGTTATTTCAGTAATTTAAAATCTTGTTTAACCAAATAATATGATCTAATCAAAAACAATAACTCATCCCCTAGTTATATAACCAAACAGTAAATCACAAATCAAGGAACTAACTCTTACATAATAGACACAAAATTTTGTCGACACTAGCGCCCAGTGTCACCGTACATGAACTAGACATGATAAACAAGCTTCAAAATTTACAATGGGATGAAAAGTTTACTTTTGTTAGTCTATGGTTTTATGCCCTTGTCTGATTGCTGCTGATGACTATAGGGAAAATAAAACTATATAGATTTAGAACACAACTCCACAACTTCAAAAATATTTTTAACTTCATCGTTTTTACTAAATGAAGGGTCAAAAATTACATAGCATTTATCATCACCTCAGTTATAAATGTTATCCCATTGAATTATTTCTGATATATAATCCACTTCTAAACACTTGTCCAAATTAAAACACTGATACTGTGATATCACCTAGCGTAGGACTAGTAGGGAAAGATAATTTAAGTCTCAGTACTTTCTCATAAAACTTTGTAACTTAGTAGAATCATCACCTTACATTGCATATATTACTTACTATTTAGCTTCCTGAAACCTTCAGAACCTTCCAAAACTTTGAAACTAATTAACAACTCTTCTTTTTATCTGTATTCCATAAATCTGTTTTTGTAAGAAGTTAATTTATCTTTCATGGTTGATTACTTTAAATTGCTTTCGCATGTACAAATAGTGAGATTAACTCATACATCTGACAAAAAGGTTTTTTGATAAAAAATACAATCAAAAATTTTGTTGTATGACTATTCAATTGTGATGAATTTTATTTTTAAATGTCATAAAAAGTAAATGATAAAATACTGTGGTTTCTTGCTGAATTTTACTCTGTTGATAGAAGGATAGAAATAATGTTAACATAGCATCTGCAAATAAAATTCCACGATTCACTTTAAAGGTGCCTTATAAAAAATAAGGTAAATAACCCTTTATATTTCAAAAAGTATTAGTTAAAAACAGAAATAAATAGTTTAAATACTTAGCTAGGGAGAGTAGTAAGGACAATATGATTAAAAAAATAGTCCATTTGAAATTGGTATTTGTTTTGTTTTGTATTAAAATATCAAATTGTTATTAAAAAAAGCTCAACTGATCCAAGTAACTTAGGTAGTAATTTTGTAACTATGAATACGTTCTAACTCTTCTTTAAGATATCTAAAGGATATATGATTGATATGTTTCATTCACTCTTGACCTTATTATGGTATACAATATACTTGTAAAATTACGTAAATAGATGTAAATGTGAATTGAACAAGAAAAATTATGTATTTCCTAATTTTTTTTCTGCAGAAGTTAGTATAAAAGTATTCACGGGTCACAATATTTTATGAACTGTTATGAGTCAAACTAGTTTTTGGAATAGTTTTTTAAGGTAGTGTACTGTTCGTAAGAAGTGTAATATTGGTAAATTAAAATACTCTAACTACTCACATTTAATAAAATCACATTAGATGTAGATAATACTTTACAAAAAGACAAATTTATACAGTATGTTGTTAATTTGTGTCTGCGGTTTAAATAAAGAAATAGGAGCTATATTTTTAAGCCATGTACTATTAAAAAATTGTTAATAAAACAGACCAAAAATATGTAAATGCCTTGTATAAGTATGTTTTTATCAAGTAAGATTTAGTTTACTAATTAAAATAGGCCTACAAATTATTATTAATCACAAAATTTAAAATAATTTTATTTAATGACAACATTTTTTAGTTTCACTGTAAAAATAAATCAATACTAATTATTGTTGTTTCACTAAGCTTTCACTGAAAAAAATATTGATACAAAAAATCTTACTGAAAAATAGCACAATAACAACTATTGTGAAGTTTTTAATGTTTGGATTAATAATTATTGTAATACAATTTACTTTTATATGTTAGGATAGTATAGGCAGAATTATACAGTAAGCTCTAGCTTTAATATGTTTTATACAAAATTTACTATTTTTATAAAGCAAAATATACATTACCATTGTTAATATAGTTTGATTAAAGCTTTTCTCATAACTCATACTTGTTGGTACTGATTGAAATGGGTTGTGGAATCATTATAGTTTCATGTTGTTTAAATAATCTTCTTAACATATCCTAAACGTTTTTAAAAGCATCTATGGGTGGTAATAAAGTGACTTACAGAATATAGTTTATGTGAACAATATTTTTAGAATTTCTAAACACCCTTGTAATGCATTTTTAAAGTTTTTTTTTCCAGATATATCACTAAGGTGGTTTTGACAGTTATGCCGTCTTAATCTCAAAAGAAGAACCTAATTATTTCCACATAAAAAATAAGTCATTTATCAGTATTGTTATTCAGTTTTAGTTGAAGTTCATGTTTTAGGTGTAAACAAATCAAATTGAATCAAACTACTATAGAACAGGTGACATTGTCAAATTATTTTTGTGTTGTACATTAATCTTTTACCATAATACCCTAACGATTTTCCTTTTTTCTATAAATTTTATCCTTTTAAGAACGATGTTTTTAGAATTGTTACTAACTAAGGTTAATAAGTAATACATTTGGTATTAAATCCCACACAATTTAAAGCTCGACATATTTACATTTGAATTTGAATCTATTTATTGCCATTTGTAAACATTATATTGAAATACACAACGTCAAAGATCACAAGAATTACAGTAATATGCCGCATAAAAGGAAAGTGTAAAATTTTCTTGTCAGACTAATACATAGCCTATAACAGAATAAAACATAAGAAAACATTTAGCAAAAAACAATATTTAAAGGTCAGTAATTTATGATAACCTTTTTTATGACCTCTTATGTTAGTAATATCACTCAATATTTTTGACATTGCTAATGTTTTGTATTAAATTTGTTTTTTTCTTATTTAAATGTGACCAATATGCTTTTGTGTTAAATACGTATGTGTTTCGTAGACACACATGATTTCTCAACCCATTTTTTAAAAATATATGAGCTCGCAAAGTGCTATATCGTACAAAATGTGTATGAGAACTTGTTATAAACTTGTAGTAGAGTGTTTACTAATTTAATATTACCTACCGATCTATTTTATAATACTCAAAGACTAATATTCCACTGCTGTGTATATAATAGTGCTTATTTAAAACTCTCAATTTTGGGAGTAAGAAAAGAGTTCCATTAGATTTGAATAAATGTTTTTGTTACTTGAGTGGTGTTAATGATGTAATATGTTGTAAATAAATTTGTTTTATATAACTGAAATGGTAAAACATTGTTCCCAAATCCAAAATTCACATGCTAATGGACCCCCTCTAATTCGGATATTTTTAACTGGATGTCTGTCTAACCGCACAGGATCGGCAGGAAGTGGGTGTTACTGGGACTTTTCTTGTGGGAAATATTTAAGACCATTAATAACTTGTCTAAATACAATTGTCTCCCAAATTTAACCCTTTGCGGTCGAATGGCGAGTATAGGTTGCTGCGCGCCATTTTCTCAACTCCTCGAATGGTGATATATCAATCTATACCACATACTCACCAAATAAAGAAAGAAAAATTCCAACACAAAGGTTTAAGACAAATATTTGGGTTAGATTTAGAGGGATTCAGGAGCTATACAGGAGGGATTAAAATGCTTTAAATTGTCAGAATAACATTAATGTATTAACAACAATTTGGAGGTTAAAAAAGTAATTCTTTAAATTTGTGATGTATTTCTTACAGTCGGTAGTATTTTATATTTTATTATATTCTAATGATTAAAACAAAATGTAAATCTTTAATTCATAAAAACATGTTACAAACCATTTTCAGTGAAACTGAGATTCAATCACTTTTGTGTCAACAGCAACTCATACCTGAAGGGCTTGCAAAAGAGAAGAGACAGTTCAATAGTCATGATAGAGGCACGCTTTGGGGCAACAAATGTCAATTTTCTCAATCCTCTTCCTCTCCTGATAGAAGATAAACTGCCTTTATTATGTTTTCCAGTTTGTAATATGACTAGAGTCTTTCTTTACAAAGTTCCTTCTGAAGTAAAAACAACTTATAGTATTTTTGTATTCTGAATACCGGTAGCTCATACTATTGGCTTCTGTTGGAACTAGTTTTGGTTCAAATTGGAACCATCATCTGACATCACAAGGAAGGCAACATATCTTATTCTAAAGACACAATATTTCACACATATTCAAAAATGAACACTCAACACGCTTAACTAGAATAATTTGCAACATGACCAGCAGGAAGAAATTTGACAGCACCAATATGAGCTGAAGTTGCCACCGTAACCAATGGGTTACCAATAATATTGGTAAGCCTCTTAGGTTTCCAAAAAAA